GTCTCTGCCTCCCTAGTGCTGGGATTAGAGGTGCTGGGAGTAGAGGTGGCCACTACCACCTGGCCATTCTACTTTATTCATTACCTGCTCTATTTCTTCAAGAATTCTAAGTCAAAGACAAAAATAAACCAGTATAGTTGCACAATAATCCCAGCCCTGAGGGTGCTGAAACACAAGAGCTGCCATAAATTTACAATCAATCTAGATACCCATTGAGAACTGGGTCAGTCAGGGCTGAAAAGTGACCCTATCTCAACAAAACAAAACAAAACAAAAAAACCAAGCAGGAAAAAGAAAGGCATGTGTGTGCTGGTGACATAGGTTGGTAGTAGAGTGCTTGTCTAGCATACATGAAGTCCTAGGTTCAAGCTCTATTACAACAACAAACAACAACAAAAATAACCCCAAACCCGAACATAGTGACACAAACATGAAGTCTCCGCACTTGAAAGGAAGCAGGAGGATCAGGATACCTCAGGTATACATTGAGTTTAAGGTCAGCTTGAATTATAGGAAACACCTCAAAAAGGGGAACAGAGCCCAGAGAGTTCCAAAGGCACCGCTTGTCCTAAGTCCTGATACTCGTCCTCTCCTTTGTAGAGAAACTAATCTGGCAACTGCTACTCTTTCAGAAAAGAATCCTAACAACCCCACAAATTGACAAGCTAAAGAAGATAAAATGACCAAGCAAGGCTATAGGGAATGTTTTTGTGGGAGTTTTGTTTGTTTCTTGAAATAGGGTCTCAAGGCACAGAATAGCCTCTAAGTAGTTGTGTATCTTGCCCACCCCTTGATGTAGGATTCCCCTCTGTATGCTGTGAATACCGTTGGTTAATAAAAAAGCTGTTCCAGCCAATGGCTTAGTAGAATAGAGATAGGCGGGGAAAACTAAACTGAATGCTGGAAGAAAGAAGGCAGAGTCAGAAAAAGCGAAGTAGCCCTGACGGAGACAGATGCTGGAACTTTACAGGGTAAGCCACAGCCTAATGGCAAAACACAGATTAATGGAGATGGGTTAATTTAAGATATGAGTTATCCAGAAATATGCTTAAGCTATTGACCAAACAGTATTGCAAACAGTATGGTTTCTGTGTCATGATTTCAGGGCTGAGCAGCAGGGAACAAACAAGCAGCCTCTTACAACAACCCCTCCTCCCCAAATTATTGGGATTACAGGCATGCACCATTACAAATAGTTTGACAACGTTTTGTTTTGTCTTGCTGAGGCAGGGTCTCACTGTGTAGCCCTGGCTGACCTGGAACTCACTATGAAGATCAGTCTGGCCTTGAACTTACAATGATCTACATGCTTTTGCCTTAAACTCAAAACTCAATATAAACCCAAGGATGACACTGACCTCCTGATCCTTTTGCCTCCTCCTTTAAGTGGTGGAATTAAAAGCATGTGCTGAAAAGCATGTGGAGTCATACCTGACTTGATAGGTTTTTAAAGCAGTGGTTCTCAACCTGTGGGTCATGACCCCATTGGCAAACCTCCATTTCAAAAAATATTTACATTATGATTCATGACAGTAGCAAAATTACAGTTATGAACTAGTAATGGAAATAATCCTATGCTTGGGGTAACCATAGTATGAGAACTGTATTAAAGGGTTGTAGTGTTAGGAAGGGTGAGAACCACTGTTCTAAAGCATCAACGAGATGGTCAGACTTGGTTTTCTGTTGGTAAATATACCAATAAATGCCATACATTTAAAAATGTCACTGAATGGTGAAATGGCACGCCTTTAATCCTAGCATTCAGGAGGCAGAGGCAGGCAGATCTCTGTGAGTTCAAGGCCAGCCTGGTCTACAGAGCTAGTTCCAGGACAGTCAGAGCTACACAGAGAAACCCTATCTCAAAAGAAAGAAAGAAAGAAAGGAAGAAAGAAAGAAAGAAAGAAAGAAAGAAAGAAAGAAAGAAAGAAAAAAAGAAAGAAAGAAAGAAAGAAAGGAAGAAAGATCAGTTTAAAAAAAAAAAAGATGTCAAAGAGCTCCAGAGAAATGTTTACTGGTTTAGAGCACTTGTTCTTAAAGATGACCCAGGTTCAATTCCCAGCATCAGCAAATTAGTACACAAGCATCCAGTTCCAGTTTCAGGGAACTAGAACACTCTCTTCTGGCCTCCATGGCACCAGGCATACAAACAGTGTGCACAATACAATCATTAAATTTGACTCATCTTTGCTACTGCTATAGTTAGTAGCATTAAATGACATTACACAATATATAGTGCTTTATCATTATAACATCCTGAAAGAGGAAAAATGACTACTTGGCATCATATACACAGTAAAAATAGCATGAGCATTATTGTGAATGCTTACAATGGTTTTCTGTAAGACATTAGCATCAATACACAAAGACCACAAACACACACATTCTACTCACCAGTTTAATGGCTACATATTCATTGGTGTAGAGATTTTTACCTAAGGGAAAAAGAGAATGTATACATTTAGTGACATCACCTTACAAGGTCATGAGAAAGGTAGATTTTCTAACAGGGCTCCTGTATCTGAAGACAGAGCTAAGTGAAAAGCTAAACAGATAATGAGAACCAGCAGGACTAGGACAAAAACAGCCTGAGAATCTGAATATGTAAGCTACACAACAGACTCTTGCTTGTTTTAAAATGGAGAAAACCAACCAAATCTACCTCCTCTTCTCTCCCTTATGCACCCCACATACATGCAACCTTATTACTTCTTAGTTATTACGGCATAAAGTGAGCTGAGAAGAAACGCCACAGTTTCAAAGACAGAAATTTAAACTTGGAGGTTGGAGGCAGGAGAATCAGGAATTCAAGGTCACCCTTGGCCACACACTGAGTGTAAGGCCAGTTTGGGCTGCATGATCTCTTGTCTCAAATCTCCCCTGACCTCAGTAGTTAAGAGGTAGGACGAAATGAGAGATTTAATGTTTAGGGTGAACCAAGGTGGTGATCATGTACAACCAAGGAATGAACCTGGATACGGCTGTAAACATGAAGAGAAAATTACTGTAGATGACAGAAGAATCGGGGAAGTTTTAGGAGTTGAATTTTCTCTCTTTGCCCTCCCTCTTCTACAAAGACACAAAGAACAAGCAGCTGGAGAATGGGTAAGATCATTTCAGGAAGAAGAAACTGCAAAAGTAAACAAAAATAAAGCAGGAGATACTACAGGCAGAGAGTGGTACAGAGTGTGGGGCTGTAGGTTATTTAATGAATATTGGGAAGGGGTGAAGACTGACAAGGAACAGTGAAAGCAGAAGCTGGGAAAGGCTATGGCTGTATTAGAAAAAGCTTAATACCGTTCTAGGTTTAAAACAGACGATTTGGAAGTAATCTCATCAACAGATCTATGACTCTGAATGACTATATATGGAGCAGCATAAATATTAACTAGAAAAGCAAGAAAGCAGAAGTAACGGAATGCATCTGAATGTCTTAATACCCAGCACATACAAACATCATAAACCGAGTCACACTCAGTTCTTGAACTTCAGAGAACATAACCTAGATATTCACACAGTATCTGATTAAAACCTTAGCCAATAAATTATAAAATGTGATGATGTTATGACAAAAATATGAATGAGTACATAGAAGAGTCTGAATAATAGAGAAAGAACATTTGGGTACAAACAATATTTAAAGTCAGAAAGTGGCCTGAAGAATAAAGGTCACTTTCTTTATTTAAATAAAAAAAAAAATCCAGGTTGCATAAGGTGAAATACCATTAACCCCAGGAGTGGAGTTTCAGTAGGCAGGTGGATCTCTGTGAGTTCAAGGTCAGTTTGGTCTACATTAGTAGTTCCATGCCAAGTAGAACTATATAAGACCCTATCCTATCTCAAAAGAAACTTTTAATTCATTTGATCACATACATTTAAAAAAAAGGCCCACAATTTTTTAAAAAATAGTTTTTAATATTATAAACTTGTTTTAATGTAAATATATTTCTTTAACTGTACAAGTGAAAAAAAAGTTTCCAAGAACAATGTGTCTTCTTTGTCTGCAGCTTAGTAAACAGAGGGCTTGATCTATCACGATATACTCTTGGGTGTGTGCACTGTAGAAAAAAAATACACATGCAAGGCTATCCACAGGTTGTCTCTAATGAACCTTTCTGGTTTTTACCACTTCTTCTCATGTATCATATTTTCTAGTTGTTTGAGTCCAGTCAGAATACCAGACTGAGCCAGGCGGTGGTGGTGAAGCACACCTTTAATCCCAGCACTCAGGAGGCAGAGGCAGGCGGATCTCAGAGTTTGAGGCCAGCCTGGTCTTCCACATGCTGTGCATGCCCTGTGCTACTACTGAACATACCCAGCATGAAAAAAATTTTTTCCTTCAGAATTTTTTTAGGGAAGCATAGGGTCTCATTATGTAGCACTGAGCAGCCTGGAGCTGGTTTTTTTTTATATGAGGTTCAAGATGCTAATAACAAATGAATATCTAGTTTTTAGAAAAGTGAAATGTCAATTCTTCTTCTTTTTTTTTTAAAGACAGTATCTCACTATATAGCCCTTGTCAGTCTTCCTGGTCATCTAGACCAGGGTGGCCTTCAATTCAAGATCCACATATCTTAGCCTCCCAACAGTGGTAGGATTGAAGGCATATGCAACCATGCCCCACTATATCTATCTATCCATCCATCCATCCATCCATCCATCATCCATCCATCCATCCATGTTTGGAAACAGGGTCTCAAAATGTAGTTCAGGCTATCCTTGAATTCATAACAATCTTCCTGCCTCAGTCTCTGAAGAGCAAAGAGACAGGTATATGCCAGGTTTGTTATATGTATTTCTTTTTACCTTAGGGAAGTGGTGTGTTTCCTAAGGACAAGAATGTTTAGAGTCTGTGTGTGTGTGTGTAGAGAGAGAGAGGGAGAGAAAGCAAGCGTGTGTGTGCACACTGAAGATTAAATTCAGAGCCTTATCTATTAGGCTTGGTAAATGTTCTATCATTAAGCTACATCCCTAACCATAAATGCTTCTTATATCCCCAAGGAACTAGCGCAGTATCTGACATAGAGTAACAGATGTTTGCTAAAGTGAAGCAAATTGACTTGGTCCTAGCTTGTGAGTCCAGTGACTATGAGGAGATTGGAACAGGAAAGGCTGACTTGAATTAGTCAGTCTATGGATTAGTTCACTGGTAGATTCATAATTTGATGGCACTATTGACAGATAATAAAAACTAGCATATGGGGCCTGATAAAAGGAAGTCAGTCACCAGGACACAGTTTTGAATGGTCTATCTAGTTTGTGGAATCTTTTTTTTTCTCTCTCTCTCTTTCTTCCAGACCCAATGGTGCACAGCTCTGCTGCACTATATCATTTACTCATATGTATCGCCTCACCACCAGTCTATAGCAACAAACCCAGGGAATCAAGAACTGAAGTATCTGGAACCATGAACGAGATAAACTCTCCTCCTGTATGCTCTTTATGAGAAACTGACATATGGGTAAGTTTTTGCTCCATTCTTCAGCTTGCTGAGAATCACCAATAGTCTAATGCCAGGGGGGGGAAAAAAAAACAAGTGGTATTTTAGAAGTATTTTCTTCGCCTTACTGTATAAAACAGAAAAAATTAACTGGAAGAAAAACAGGACATTTTCATAGCAGGGCATTTAAAGAACTACATTTGTGGCACAGAGTAGTTATAAGGATTACATAAGACAGAGCATGTGAAAGTACTTTGTAAACTGGGAAGTACTAAATGAATCCTATTTTAATTATTATTTTTAAGTATGAGTCTTTAAAAAACACTAAAACATATAAAATCTATATGCCAGATATTTTGAAGAGGGAAAAAACTAACTACCTTTACCTACTGCATTTAATAGGAGATAAGAAAATAAGGGTCAAAAATTGTGTCCTCATGCCAAGTATGGTATGGTAGTCCACCCCTTTCATCTAGTGCTTGAAAGGTAGAGGCAAGAGGATCATATGTTTAAGGGCTACATAAGATCTTGTCTTGAAAAAGAGAAAGGGTGAACAAGAATCAACAAGAGAGGGGGGAAGAAGGATGAAGAAGAGGGAGAGCTGGAGAGTAAGAGAGGGAGAGAGATGTTTTTAGTTGGTGCGGGAGAATTGTCTGTATTCTGTCAATCATGTTTTAAATAAACGCTGATTGGCCAGGCAGGAGGTGTAGGTGGGAAAACCAGACAGGAAGTGGAAATGATGCAAGTAGAGCAGGAGAATTCTGGGGAGGAGGAAGTTGATTTCTCCCACTCCTTCCCAGACCACCGAAGCAGCAGGATGTGAGCTGCCCCACTGAAAAAGGTACTGAGCCACATGGCTAAAATAGATCTGAAAAATGGGTTAATCAAGATATGAGTGTTAGCTAAAGAAAATGGGTTAATCAAGATGTGAGAGTTAGCCAGTAAGAAGCCTGACCTAATGGACCAATCAGCATTATAACTTACAGAGATCTGTGTGTGATTTTTCTCTGGGACTAAACAGCTGGGGGGCCGGGCAGGACAGAAAAACCCCCAACAAGCAGGCCCCTCATGTTACATTTAGTGAGAGGAGATCAGAAAGGCAAAGAGCAATTAATGTGCTTTTCTCCAAATTCTGGCTAAAAGAAAAGTGATAGATTAGGAAGTGCTTCTGAGCTTCAAATTTCTATATAAAAAATATACTAAGTGCTGAATTGAGGTATTTTCTGCAGGCATGACAAGACCATCTGCAATCATGAAGATGACTGTGTGACCTACAGAACACCTTGGTCCTCAGTCATCACAACAACAACAAAAAAAGCAAGCAATACAGTGACAGCTACATACATGGCAACAGTAATAGGGCTGCTAACACTTCCGGGCAGAAGGCCAGAGTTGGTACTATTGAGATCCCAGTCACCACTCAGTCCCCTCATTCCCTTCAGCTGTGTTTGGTCTTGGGCATAGTGTGTGATGAAGTATATAAAAGGGAGAAGGTTGACTAAGGGTTAAGACTACAGAAATACAGCTCTCCTGAATAATCCCCATGCTGGGGTGGTGATGTGGGAGGTCCTTCTGTCAATGTGTTGCTTTCATTGGTTAATGAATAAAGAAACTGCCTTGGCCTGACAGGCAGAACTTAGGTAGGCGGGGAAGATGGAACTGAATTTGGGAGGAAGGAAGCAGAGTCAGAGAGATGCCATGGATCCACAGGAGACAGACGCTGAGAATTTTATCCAGTAAGCTATTGCCACATGGCGATACACAGATTAACAGAAATGGGCTAAATTAAGATGTAAGAATTAGCCAATAAGAAACTAGAGCTAATGGGCCAAGCAGTGATTTAATTAATACAGTTTCTGTGTGGTCACTTCGGGGATAAGCTAGCCGGGTGGCAGGGACGAATGAGCAGGCCCTCCCCTGCAACAGGGTGGGATCTTCTGGAGATTCAGCTAATTTCTAGTTATCCATGCTTTTGTAAAAAATGTCAATAAATTCAGCAGACTGTCCTTAAAAGAGACTTCTTGGGTTTCTCGGTGCCCTACCTGGGGAGAACAGATGGTTCTTTACGTCTTCTGACAGACATAACAAGCATAAGCTTAACACCAGGCATGGTGGCTGAAATTACAGAATGCCAACTCGGTTGTGTTTTTTTACTTTCTATAAGGACACCAAAAGAACTGAATAATGGTACTCAACTTCATATGGAAAAGCAAAAAACCCAATATAGCCTAAACAATCCTGTACAATAAAGAAACTTCTGGAGGCATCACAATCCCTGACTTCAAACTCTATTTCAGAGCTACAGTACTGAAAACAGTCTTGGATTGGCATAAAAACAGACAGGGAAGACCAACGGAACTGAATCGAGGACCCGGATATTAATCCACACACCTACGGACACCTGATTTTTGACAACGAAGCAAAAAATATAAAGTGGAAAAAAGAAAGCATATTCAACAAATGGTGCTGGCAAAACTGGATATCAACATGTAGAAGAATGAAAATAGATTCGTATCTATCACCATGCACAAAACTCAAGTCCAAATGGATCAAAGACCTCAACATAAAGCCAGCCACACTGAACCTCACAGAAGAGAAAGTGGGAAGTACACTTGAACGCATGGGCACAGGAGACCACTTCCTAAATATAACCGCAGTAGCACAGACCCTGAGAGAAACAATCAATAAAGGGGACCTCCTGAAACTGAAAAGCTTATGTAAAGCAAAGAACATGGTCAACAGACGAAACGACAGCCTACAGAATGGGAAAAGATCTTCACTAACCCCACATCAGACAGAGGTCTGATCTCCAAAATATACAAAGAACTCAAGAAATTGGACACCAAAAGATTACATAATCCAATAAAAAAAAATGGAGTACAGACCTTAACAGAGAACTCTCAACAGAGGAATCTAAAATAGCTGAAAGACACTAAATAAGCTCAATAGCCTTAGCCATCAGAGAAATGCAAATCAAAACAACTCTGAGATTCCATCTTATACCTGTAATAATGGCCAAGATCAAAAACACTGATGACAACTTATGCTGGAGAGATGTGGGGTAAAGGGAATATTCCTGCACTGCTGGTGGGAGTGCAAACTGGTACAACCCCTTTGGATATCATTATGGCGATTTCTCAGAAAATTAGGAAACAACCTACCTCAAGACCCAGTAATACCACTTTTAGGTATATACACCCAAAGGATGCTCAATTGTACCACAAGGACATGTGCCCAACTATGTTCTTAGCAGAACCTGGAAACAACCTAAATGTCCCTTGATCGAAGAATGGATAAGGAAAATGTGGTACATTTACACAATGGAGTACTACAAAGCAGAAAAAAATAATGACATCTTGAAAATTACAGGCAAACAAATGGATCTAGAAAACACGATATTGAACGAGGTAACCCAGACCCAGAAAGACAAATATCATATGTATTCACTCATAAGTGGTTTTTAGACATAAAGCAAAGAAAACCAGCCTACGATCACAATCCCAGAGAACCTAGACAACAATGAGGACCCTAAGAGAGACTTACATTGATATAATCTACGTGGGACGTAGACAAAATCTCCTGAGTAAATTGGGACTGTGAGGATTATGGGAGAGGGATAAAGGGGAGGGGAGCAGAGAAAAACATATAGCTCAATAAAATCAATTTTAAAAAAGAAATTGAAAAAAAACAATTACTTCATTTTGAGATAAAAAGCTTGGGGATTAGCCTAGTTTCTATGACTTTCCTAAAGAGAGTGCTGGGATTACAAGGGTGTGCAATCATGCCCATATTGGGGGCTCAAATCTGGAGGCCCTGAGCATGCAAGACAAGCACTCTAAAATCTGAGTTACAACCCAGTTTCTCTTCATTTTGTTTAATGGCTAAATAATACAAAATTTTGTTTACCTATCTTAGAAGTTCTCAACTTTCCTAATGCCACGGCCCTTTAATACAGTTCCTTGTGTTCTGGTAACCCCAACCATAAAGTATTTTCGTTCATTGCTACATCATAACTCTAATTTTGCTACTGTTATGAACTGTAATGTAAATATTTTTGGAGGGAGAGGCTCGCCAAAGTGGTAGAGATCCACGGGTTGAGAACTGCTGACCTATGCTATGGTATGATTTAACCCTGTCCCTCCAGTGTCTAATGGGGAAGTTGTAGAATCTCTGAGGTGGGACTTATTGAGATCTTTAGATCATTGAGGGCATGATTGTGGAAAGTAGATTACACAAGAGTCTTGAAGTTCTCATAAGGATGGTTACATAAAACTGTGAGCTTCTTCATCAACTATAGCCACTGCCATATGGGAGGCAGTTAGGGGGTCGAGGCATCGAACCTCTACTATGCTTTGTAGACTTCTAGTCTCTGAAACCGGGATCTAAATGAAGGTCTTTTTTTTTCTTTTTCCCTTTCCTTCCACAAATATCCATATCAGGTATTTTGTCATAGTAATAAAAATCCAACTCATATATCTCACCAGGTGTCAGATACTTGAACTATTTTAACTTCTTAAGGAACTACCAGACAGTCTTCCAAAGTAGCTGTGCCATTTTACTCTCTCAATATCATTGTATAAGTCGTCCAATTTCTACATAGTCTTCCCAGCAAACAGTAATTCTTACTACAGTTGGTGGGTATGAAGAAACAGTTTTCATCTGTATTTCCCAATGACTAAAGAAATTGAACAGTTTTTGTGTGCTTAACCTCTAGTCTCTCTGGAGAAAAGTATATTCAAATTCTTTGCTCATCTTTTAAAAAGATTTATTTTTAATTATGTGTGTGTGTGAATGTACATATGCTGGCACCAGAGGCATTGGATCCTTGAAGCTGAAGTTACAGGGGAGCTGTGAGCTACCCAAAATGGGTACAGAAAACTTGAGTTCACAGGAGGAGGTGTGCTCTGAAGTGTTGCACAGTTGGCTTTGCTAATTTTTAATCTCGGTCATCTTTTTATTTATTGCTGAGTTTAAAAAGAGTTCTTTATATGTTTCTGAAAAATCCCTCTACTGAATATTCATTTTGCCAGTATCTTCCTTGTCTTATTACTTGAGTTGCCTTTTTACTTTCCTCTTTTTAAAATAATAGTAACAATAAGGAAGTATTCATGGTGCTGTGTGGAGGTCAGAAACAACTTTCAGGAACTGGTTCTCTGTGGTGAGCCCACAAGTATTAACAGTAAATGCACAGCTGATAGATCTACTGGACTAATCCACAGGAGAAACCCATTTCAACAGAACTGCGGGAACACCTGTCTTTTGGACAAGCCATTGTCAATTCTGTAGAAATCTTGTGAAATCATGGCATTTCTCCCTTCCATAATATCCCAGAATTGTATAAACCTGACTTTTCCTATAGGGCAACTGGATACCTTCCCTACACAGAGAAGTTCTGGTGTGAAAGCAATCACTAGGTCAAACCTTTGTTCTCATAGCCAACTAGTCCCCCACAACCTTCTTTATTGACAGAACTCATTGATAAGAAAAATGCCCTAAACAGGAGGCAAAACGCCTGCTCTAGAAGCAGACGCAGGAAGGTGGGATCTACTGGTCTTCTGCTCTAACTTAACAAACTACTAATATTCTGTATTTACCTTTCACCATGGTTTCAACTAACATAAGCTCATAGCCCAGGAAATTAACTGCTTATACAGGAAAAATGCCTGAGTTGCTAAAACTAGCTTCAGAGAGGAAAATTCTCACTTGGGTACCCTGCTGGAGTCAAAAGCAAAGTTCCCAAAAGAGATTCCCTTTAACTCAAACAGCTAGACGCTAATGCAAATCAAGCCCTTGGGTCACAAAGGCTACCAACAGCTGTGTTCCCTGCTGGTAGACAGCTTCACAGCCACGCCCCCTCTGGGATATAAGGCACCTCTTTGTCAGATCCATCGGTTTTTTTTGTTTTTGTTTTTGTGACTCTGAAAATGCATGCTTGATACTATTGTTGGCGCCTATGAAATTGCTAACTTGTCGGTATGCCTACGGAAACTGAAAGCTTTGTGGAGAATGCCCCCCCCCAATGTCCTTCCATTCTTCCATTCCTTCCCCAAGAAATAAAGAAACTTGTAGAGAATTGTGCTTAAGTCAGTCAGTTTGTTCTACTCCGAGATCTCTTTCTCCAGCCAGTTTTCGTCTGCCATAGTGAGTCTTTCTGGATCCTGAGAGGCTTAATGGGCTTAGCCCCAAAACAAACCTCAATAGTTTGACTGAACTCAGGCATGAGCAACAACACTTTTTACTGACCAGGCCATACTGTTCTTCCTTGACGATTCTGTTTAGGTAATACAAAAGGTTTTATTTGTTGCCAGGAATGGCAGCACTCCAGAGACAAAGACGGGCAGAACTTTGTGAATTCAAGACCAGCCTAGTCTACATAGCAAGTTTCTGGCCATTCAGGGTGATACAGTGAGATTCTGTCTTTAAATTTTTCAATATTTATGAAGTCTACTATATCTATTTTCTTCAACTTACTAGGCCTTTGGTATCACATTAAGAAAATTACTATCATGAAACAGACCTAAGAAGAGTAAAATTTTTGCTTATTTGAGACAGGGTTTCTCTGTGTAACCCTGGATGTCCCGGAACTCACTCTGTAGACCAGGCTGACTTCTTTGAACTCAAGAAGAGATACACCTGACTCTGCCTCCAAGTGCTGGGCAAAGGTATGTGCCCTATCACCTGGCTAAGAATAGTAAAATTTACTGCTAAGTCTTTAGGGTTTCTGTATGTTTTCTGAGACAGGTTCTGACTATATAGTTTAGCTAGCCTGGAACTCCACACAGACACCAGCCTGGGTATAAACTCACAGAGATCCACCGGTCTCTGCCTACTGAGTGCTGGAATTAAAGGTGTGCACTATTATGTTTAGCTTTGTCTTAGTTTTCTTCTAAAAGCTGTATAGTTTTAGTTTTGTATTTAATCCTTTAGTCTATCGTGCTAATTTTTCTATTTAAGAATTCAATGTTTAGACTTCTGAATATGGCTATTTCATTTTCTCACGACTATTTTGGAAAAGAAATTCATTAAATAATATAAAATATCTTCAAAATAACCCCAATGATTGTCAATAAATATTGATTTATTAATACCCTTGTTTCTTTTCCTGTTGTGATAAAATACCTTGACAAAATTATTATTATTATTATTATTATTATTTTTTCCCCGAGACAGGATTTCTCTGTACTTTGGAGCCTGTCCTGGAACGAGCTCTTGTAGACCGGACAGGCCTCAAATTTACAGAGAAGGTCTGGCTCTGCCTTCCGAGTGCTGGGCTTAAATGCATGCGCAAACATGACCCACTTTGACAAAATTAATTTAAGGGAGAAATGGTTAATTGAGCTCACAGTTCCAGGCTACAATCCATTACAGTGGGGAGATTACAGCAGCAGGAAATTGCCTTGAGGAGCTAGTTA